CCAAAGAGTGCTTTGACAGTTGCATACTACCAGAGAGTGCTTTTCTGTGTTTAACACCCTTCTAGTTAGGTGCTAGGATTTGTATAGTTAGGATAAGTATAGCTGTGTTTCTCTACTTAACAAAGTAACTGTTAGGAAAATTTAATTGGGCTCTGCTTTATAGAGTGCTGTGATGGATTGTTCAGGTCTGCTCATGATGCTCTGGTGCTGCTGAATTTGCCTTGAGTTTTGCCCACCTTCAGGAAGCTATGAGAGCATTCTAGAACCTGAGAGGGAACTAGGCAAATGAGCAGCATGAATATGGATACAGTCCTGGCCAATTGCAGGGGAGAGTGGCTCCATTGTATGCTGGGAGTGGTATTTATGTTCTCTGTGCACATAGGTCTACAATAAAATTCCAAAAACAAACATCTTCTAGACTGGTCATTGAAGACAATGAGTGGAAGTGTGTGTGTACACTGCTGTGGAATAAAATACTTTGTGCCTGGCTGCGGGGTGAGCAAGGGGAGACCTGGGCAAAAATACAAGCGTCTCCTTCACGGGTAGCACTACATGTGCATTACTAGAAACAGTGCATTGACAGCTGCATGTTACCAGTCAAAATAAGGCCCCATGCACACAGGGCATTTATGCCTGGTGTATAGGCTCTGGCATTTACTTGTGGGTGGATGGCACAGTTGCACAGTTCAACCCAGCTGCTGGCAGCTTGTCAAACTCAATGAGAGACTGACAGCTGCTGCAACTGGAAAGGGCTGAAGGGTTCACCTAGCGGTATGAACGTATGTATGTATGTACCCAGCAATGAATACCCAGAGCACAAAGAGACTGCATTATGGGCTACATCCCTGGCATATACTATCCCAAACAATCGTACCACTAGGTGTATCATCCAGCAGCTGTCAGCCTCCCGGAGTTTGACAGGCTGCCAGTACCTGTGCCCTCAGCCCACAGCTAAACACCAAAGTCCCATGCAGTGGGGCTAAATGCCCAGTGTGCATGGGTTCTAAAAGCAGCATATTGCTATGCAGAGCACCATGAAAGCTGCATATTACTATAAAGAGCAGTATATGTTACCAGAGAGTGCACCATGCAATTTCAGTGTTACAAGAGATGAGGCTTGATTCCCAGGGGTAGGAGTCTATACATTTCTCATTAAAATAATTAAAACATATATTTATATATATATATATATATATATTTATACACACATATATATATATATATATATATATATATTTATACACACATATATATATATATATATATATATATATATATATATATATATATATATCTCCTTATCCGGATCTGTTAGCTTTGTAAATTGAGCCCATAGTGTCAGAACTGCACATTATTATTATTATTATTATACAGTATTTATATAGCACTAAAAGGATTGCTCAGCGCTGTACATTATAATGGGGGACAGTACATGAGACAATACAGTAACAAAACAGAACACGAGGGATTCAAGGGCCCTGCTCTTTCGAGCTTACAATCTAGGAGGGAGGGGATAGTGGTACAGGAGGAAGTGGCTGTGGGGGATGGAGTGGTGGGAGGAGAGTGGAGGAGATCGACTGTTAGGTGAGGGCGGGGTAGGCTTCCCTGAAGAGATGGGTTTTCAGAGTGCGCCTAAAGGTGAGGAGGGTAGGTGACAGTCTGATGGATTGGGGTAGTGAGTTCCAGAGGATGGGGGAAGTCCTGGAGAAGTCCTGCAGTCGGGCGTGGGAGGTGGAGACCAGGGAGCTAGAAAGTAGGAGGTCTTGTGAGGAGCGAAGATTATGGGTAGGGTGGTATTTGGGTATCAGGTCGGTAAGGTAGTTTGGGGCAGCATTATGAATGGCTTTGTATGTCTGTGTTAGTAGTTTGAATTGAATGTGTTGGGCAATCGGGAGCCAGTGGAGGGAATGACAGAGGGGGGTGACAGAAGTGGAGCGGTTGGTAAGGTGGATGAGTCTGGCACATGCCATATGCCAGGGTGGGCAGAGGTTTAGCCTAGTGGTATAAACTTGCCACTGCTAGATAAGGTAATATCATTCTGAAAGTCAGTGTGGAGATGTCCAGAGAAGCTCATAGAGCAGTATTAAAGCCCAAACAAAAACTCTAATGTATTGCAACTTACCATCATTACATAGGGGTGGTTGCATCAGTTTTCTTTTTTAGGCTTTTTGCCCTCTGTTTTGACCTTGTGATCTGGCCAGTAACACACCTCCTGTATTAGAGTACCCTCACTTTGAATGAATGAGCACAGGGGGAAGATTTGAACAGCAGCATTATCAGTCTGGGGGAAAAGGAGTGTTAGATATATTAGTAGATTTAAACACACTAGCAGATTGAAGCCAAACTCCACCTAACATGGTATAAGCAGTTAAAGCAACAGTTTTTTTTTATGAGATAAAAATTTTCTATAAATAAAATCTGATAATTTTAAGCTCCCCTGCCAGTGTTAAAGGATAAGTGTGGAATTGAAAAAGCCCAAACATTCATACTCAATTATATGGCTAGAGCATGTAACCCGCTGTCTGTAAGCCCAAGAACCAAGTGATCACGTCACTGATTGTTCAGTTCTTGGTCTTCACTGAGCAGAGAGCGATGACTGTCGGTCATTGATCACTGCTCTTTCCCTCCAGTGCTCATTGGATTGCTGGGCTGTGAAGGGGGTGGGAAAGTCTGGCTCAGACTTTCAATGGCACACTAAAGTATGGATCCTTGCAGAACCTGAACTGGCTCTGTGACGTCAGTTGATAGCAGGCTTTAGCGTGATGAGAGGAGTGTGGGTCAGAGGAGTGCAGAAATAAGTGTACTCCTGTAACCCAGAAAAGAAATATGGTCAAAAGAGCTTTGGCCATACTACTCCTTTAAATAGTTTTTCTTATCTCTGCAACTGGTAGACAGCTTGTTCTTTTGAAAATCAACACACTTACTGGCTGGATCACCAGATAAAAATAGAAGAGAGAAAAGCCTAAAAGGCAAATTAATGCAGCCATCAAAGGAATTGGTAAGCTGCAATATAATAAATGGTTGCTCTTGGGTTTTATACTACTTTAAGAAGCCTTTTGGTGACTGCAGAATAAGGCATATACTATGTATACTATAGGTACAGTATATATACAAAATTGTATAGCTAATAGCAACATGAATAGAAATAATATACAAAAATGCAATATGTTGAATGAGTAAATCATGCATTCCTTCGATGTCAAGCAACTACAAAATAGAGTTTCCATGTATTTTGGATGATAGGCAACCCTTTGCTCTCATTTAACTCTACAGAACTTCTGCTTTCCATTGGCATAAGATGAGATGAATAACAATCAGCATAAGACACTCTTCCCTCTAAACTAAGCCACATGGAAAAAGTAACAAAAAAGTATCAGCAAATTCTAAATGCAGATCTTTAAGGTGACTTCCCTTTAACCATTTCATATCTAACTGTTGGGTTTAGAAGTTATATAGTTGTTGTATGATGTTTTTAAAACAATACATTTTATATAACAATATCAACTTTACACATGCTGTTTATAATATTGAGTTATATGTATATGCTAGCTTTTAGATTTAGAATTATGCATAATGGTCAACAATCACTATCTAGCACCTGACTAGAAAATGCCCATTGGGTAAAGGCATGCATGTAATAAACTGACCTTACTGTACACTAGCAAGGTGTCATTAAGACTGCTCTTGCCATGTTCACATCTATCAATGTCTACTTTTCTCCATTTTTAATTGTGTTTTTTAACGTGCACCGTAGCGTGTTTACATGTGTTTTCCTTTTTCTATTGGGAATAACAGCACATGATAATGCACAGAAAAATTGTGTAATTTTTCAAACTGCAGCTTAACCCACTGCACCCCAAAGATCTGAACAGCTCAATGAATAACATTGCTTCTTATGACACATCCATTGTTTTGCCTTATAACACATGCATTATAATGCAAACTTGTGAACAAAGGCCTAACTGTTTGCACTAGAGATCCTATTTAACTGCTTAAGGACCGCCCTATGGCAGATATGGCATGCCGGGTGTTGGAGATAGGAAGGCTCACATGGTATCCTTGGTTTGTACACAGAGCATTCGAGGAGCGGCGCCGAGACTTGCCAGAAACATGTCTGGAGACAAGATGATTTTCGACCCTACAATGACCAAGAAGAAAAAGAAGAAGAAGAAGAAGCCCTTTATGTTGGATGAAGAGGGAGAACAGCAGGTGGAGGAGACCCAGATTCCTGAAACGAAAAAGGCGGAATCAGGACCAGTGGAGGACAAGGATGTGGATGCAGACGATGAGTCATTTTAGAAGAAAGATGCTCCTGATGATCTAGATGACTTGAACTTTTTGAATCAGAAGAAGCAAAAGACGAAAAAGTTTGACCTGGATGAAGCAGAAGAAGGCATTAAGAATCTGAAGATTGAGGATGATGTGCAGGAGGCCTCAAAATCCCAGGAGGATGACCTGGACTTAATGCTGACAAAAAAGAAGAAAAAGAAAAATGTGAAGTTCCCTGAGGATGATGAGTTTAATGATAAAGATGAAGCCTTTGAAGAAGACGACAGTAAAAATGATGATGGAATCTCTTTTAGCTCTTCACTTGGACCTGCATGGGCTGGCTCAGAAAGAGATGTAACTATATATTACTACAAGGTGGCACCTGTGCGCAAGGATCACGTATATATACTGTATGCCATTCTGCATTCCCGGGTAGGGGGCGAACCTGAGCCGCGCGAGCGCCCTACCCATGCCACCATTCGCGGATACAGACGTCAATCACTGGGTCATGGCCGGTAATTACCCGCCGACTCCCGGCGAATATCGAGCATCTCCTATGTGGTGGAAGATTGTTTTGTTAACAATCTTCCTCCTTGTCAGCTCAAGCACACTGCTTGGGATGGCTGTGCACAGTACAGCCATCCCGATCAGTGTGCTTACAGTGAAGAACACCCCCCCGCCCCCTAGTAAACCACTCCCAGCACACAGTTAACCCTTTGATTGCCCCTCATGTTAACCCCTTCCTGCCCAGTGTCATTAGTACAGTGTCAGTGCCTTTTTTTTAGCACTGATCACTGTATTGGTGTCACTGGGGTGTCAGTGACACCAAGTTAGTTCCCCCCCAGTGTCAGAATGTCTACCACAGTCCCGCTAAAAGTTGTTGATCACCGCCATTACTACTAGTAGAAAAAAAAATCTCAGTATCTATACTGCCATTTGTAAATGCTATAACTTTCACGTAAATCAATTAATTTACACGTATTGGGATTTTTTTTAGCAAAATCATGTAGCAGAATATATTTTGGCCTAAATTTGGCCTAAATTTATGATGAAATTAGATTTTTAAATTTTTTTTTACTGGACATGTTTAATAGTAAAAAGTCCACAAATAAAAAACACACATGCGATCAAATACCACTGAAAGAAAGCTCAGTTTGTGGGAGAAAAGGACATAAATTTCATTTGGGTGCAGCGTTGCATGACTGTGCAATTATCAGTTAAAGTAACGCAGTGCCGTAACGCAAAAAATGGCCTGGTCAGGAAGGGCGGTAAATCTTCAGGACGACAAGTGGCTAATCACTCAAAGTGATCCTCCTCACGCCGAATGTATGCAAATATGCGGCCTCTCTGCGGCTGGACCTTGACGCCGAGCGGCTGCATATTTGTGTACTGTTTGTAAACAAACTTTTGCTTAAAGCGCGTGCCCAGCACATTTGTCGGCGTCCCACGGAAAGGTCCTGATCTCTTCTTGCGATCAGGACCTTTCCGATTATGTGACCGCCGATCATGCCGATCACATGACCCTAAACCCCGCCCCACCTCCCGGCGTCAGAAACCCCTTAAAGTGCTGGGAGGCACCGGCGTGAAGGGGTTAATATACAGTACATACAGTATATGAGCTAAAAATTTTAAATATCTATAATAAGTGCAGAAACAAGACACCTTTTGGACAATGACAACTAAATATAAATCGTTATATGCAGTTTAAGTAATGTTTACAAATGCAACCATAGCCATTATTATCATAATCTGAAAACCAAAATTAATGACCGTAGTATAACCAAAATGCTCATAGAATTAATATACCTTAGACTTGCAAAACATTCATTATAATTACTGTTTAAACACCACTGTGCCCACGGAGGATTTGTTCAGAAATACCAAAGCACTAATTTCTGTCACTGTGGTAAAAGCAACTAATCTTTTAAAATCCTTTTGTCAGTAGAAACCAAAATCACAGTAATTAGTACAATTGTAAATGTACTAGTCTTTGTTTTAACTATGGTAATAATGATAGTTGTGGCATGTTTGAAACTTTAAATTCAGATTATAATATAAAATACGTCCTCTTGTTTCAGGAAGTTAAGTTTGCCAATAATAAAAGACACAACTGAACTAATCCTTTCCTGTTTGCCTAGAATCCAAAAGAAAAACCTACCAGTTCATGGAGACATAAAGGGGTTGATTTACTAAAACTGGAGAGTGCACAATCTGGTACAGCTCCGCATAGGAAGCAATCAGCTTCCAGGTTTTATTATAAAAGTTTATTTGAACAAAATGAAGTTAGAAGCCGATTGGCTACCATGCACAGTTGCACCAGATTTTGCACTCTCAAGTAGTAAATCAACCCCAAACTGTTGGATTTTTGTAGTCTCAACGTATATAGTCAATAAATCTGATTCCTACATTCATTTTTTCCTTGGAGTTTCTAAAGGGTGGTTTATGTATGTATCTTCCATGATTGATAAGTGCTATAATAAATGCTACAGTGGATGAAATTGTTATTCCTTTGACTTTTTTTTTGTAACTATAAAACAGATTACTGTACATTTCAAAAGGTAAAGTTCTTCAAGACTGAAAGGGTAAGTAAAACTGTAAAGCTAGGTTCACACTGCTGCGATACAATTTTGATCCAATTTTCAGTGATATTATGTAGTGCTACATGGATGCAACTTTAATAAGACTTGTATATTCTATGGTGATAAAAATTACATGGGAATCGCACAAAACTGCTCCCTGCTGAGTCACATTGATGTGAACGGGCTCCAATGAAAATATCATTTCCATTTTCATGTGAATTTGCACGACTCAAGTCACCTTTGAAATCGCACTAGTGTGAACCAGGCCTAACTAAAAACTGTATTCAGTGCTTTTCTCTCTGTTACATATACCATTGAAAGTGTTTTGTTGTATTTGTTTGATAAGTGCAAAAAAATACCTGTTGATCCTGTTAGAGATCTCAACCTGATAACTTTCTGTTCTATCTGCCTGTGCAGACTGTTATCAGTTACATTGTTCCTGGCTCTCTCTCAGGACTAATGAACCCTGCTCCTCTATATTATGGAGGAGAGAAGATGGATAAGGTCCTGTAGTCGTATTTTGTTTCTGGGGCGAGGGAACATTGGCATCCTAGGACAAGAAGGGTGTTACTTGGCAGACTTGCCAGGTGAAAATAAAACCAGAAAAAAAAGAAAATGAAAAAAAAAAACGAATGCAGTTACATGTGTGAAGATTGATAAGTTGCAATATATTACATTTTGGTTTTGAGTTTAGATGTTCTTTAACATGCTTCCATAAACCAATATGAATTTACAGTATGTATGCTTTTGCTACTGCTGCTGTATCATTCAACTTCAATCATCAGGTACCACTAACTAGGCAGGAGGATAGTTAAAGCGGAGTTCCACCTGAAAAAAAAAAAAAAAAGTCAGCAGCTTCAAAAACTGTAGCGGCTGACTTTTAAAATACAGACATTTACCTGTCCTTCGGTCCAGCGGTGTACTCACCATGGCTGGTTTCACCGGCCGTCTTCTCTCCCTGGCGCCGGCATCTTCAGTGTGGGCCCCCCGGGCTGTGACAGCTTGTGGCTGACATGATAATTCATTCTTAGATTGTAAGCTCCAAGGATCAGGGCCCTCCTAACCCTCTTGTATTGAACTGTATTGTTGCTGTATTGTTTCCCATTTTATTGTAAAGCGCTGAGCAAATTGTTGGCTCTATATAAATCCTGTATAATAATTCATATATGTTTGTGTGACCCAAGTGTGTTTTTAGTTCAGGTCGGAACACACAAATTGACCCCTTATACAGTATGTTGGCTGAGGTACACAATATATCACTTTTCACAATTGTACTTTACCAACAATACTAAAGTTGAACTAAAAGCAAAAGTATTTTTTTATATTTTTTGATAGAGTAAGGGGGGGGGGGTGTTATAACCCCTGTCAATTTTTTGCCATCCGTGTCCCATTTTAGAGATTTCCTTTCCTCTCCCATAGACAGGAAGTGAGGAAATCCCTGGTTGTCACCAGAACTAGTGTCCCCATTGGAACATTTCTACTCTATATTGTTCTGAGGACAATCCAACTTTTTTTTTTTTTTTTTTTTTTTTTCACTTTCGGTGAAAACAGTGAACATGACATATAGAGAGGGTGAATATCCCTAATGGGGGAAGTTAGCAGTAGGTAGTAACAGGTGTTCTAAGCTATCTCCACTCTGTCCAAAACTATAGTTTTGCCTTTTGTTATACTGTAAATAATAATTATGAGTGGAGATTTTCATTATATGCCAATATCTCTTTCACCGTGACGTAAATCACTGGAATCATTTTGTTGCCGCAGTTTTTCTCTTTGCTTCATTTTTCCATTGAGCTACTGAATGTACCACAACTGAGGGAGGTCCAAAGGGCAGTTGACCATCATTCTTGCTTTAGTCAGTCTCTATCAGGCCATCAGACTATCAGACCAGGGCATCTACTTGTTTCATTTCACAGCATTTACTGTATGATTGGATTTGCATCAGCAGCAAGCATTGGACATGGCATCATACTTCTATTTAAAGCAAGCTGGAAAAGTAGGCTGATGGAATTATAGTAACAAAGTTTTTAGAACATGTCTCCCATCGTTCTCCTTTGTATAGTTTATCTCATCCTGTTTGGTTAGCTCTTCCTGTGTGAATTATTAAAGTACGTATTCTAAGTCAAGCTCAAGTGTATGTCTTTTTAGTTGATACTTTCTATTCATGCCTGACTTTTCTTAGGTATGAAGTCCAGCTCTTAAAATAGGTTAGTAAGTAAATATTTATATTGTACTAAAAGGTATTATGACAGAATTAGAAACTACAGGAATGTTTCAAGGGTATTAAACAGTACACACCTACTGTATACAGTTTTCAGAAAAAATAAACCAACAAAATGAGAGTATATTTCATTTATTTTCTAATTGTAATAAAGGTAAGTGTTTTAAGTGAATATCAGGGGAAAATAAAAAAAAACGCAGTATATGGGCTCATTCAGTTGGGCGATCAGTCCTATCCTTCATGCAGAGTCGCTAGCAGATGCCCATGCATCCACCTCGCAGCTGCATAGAATTGGAAGCACTCAGCAGCTGCACTGACACAATTGCATGCCAAAATCTAATATGAGAGTAGGACTGGGTGCACAGATGTGTTGAGATCTGTGCACTGGCTCCTGCCAAACTCTGACATGTGATTGTGTCCGTTCAGCCACTATGTGTGCATCCATTTCTATGAGCTCCCTGCCGCAGCTCCAAGGTGGATGCACAGACAGCTGCCAATGGCTCTGCAAGAAAGACGGGACTAATCACCCAACTGAATGAGCCCATATACTGAATACCTTTTTATTTTGTCCTGATATTCACTTAGAACACTTATCTTTATTACAATTAGAAAATAAATGAAATTGCCCATCTGAAAGAGACTTATCTCTCCAATAGATGCACATTTCCCCATGTTCTATTCCTTTAAAAACATAGTATGTACGAAAAAATACCTTTTGATTTGTTTGAAATCCAGTGTGCTCAAAATTTCCTGTTTGGGCTTACAACACTCTGGGGGTTATCTACTAAAACTGCATGGTGCAAACTCTGCTGCAGCACTACATAGAAACCAATCTGGTTCCAGGTTTTATTGTCAAAGCTTAACCCCTTCAAGCCTAAGGGTAAAACAAATCTTAATGCCTAAGCACAATTTTGCAACATTGACATGTTAGTAAAACCATACATATGGTCATCACAACTACTTTGTACATTCAGGTGAATTATACCTTGTTTTTTTCAGAACAAATTGGGCTTTCATTTGGTGGTAAATGGTAATGGATATCTCCTGATTTTTTTTATTATCAAAGGAAAACTGGCCCA